TTTATCATTTCTACCTACACATTCCCATCCTTTCCATTCATACAGCCACAATGCTAGTTTAGATCCTCATCATGTCTAGCCTGGACTACTGCAATAGCTTTCAAACTGGTCTCCCTGCCATGTCACTACCCAATCCAACACATTCTTCACTCAGCTATCAAGGTCATTTTCCTGAAGTGTAGTCAGACTGACCATGTCACCACCTACATACAGCTCAGGGAACTCCAAGGGCTCTCAATCATCTCCAGAATCAAATATAAAGTCTTCAATTCAGCATTTTAAAGCTTTTCACTTCCCAGTGGCCCTTCCCTACCTTTCCAACCTGATTGGTTATTGGCCTTTGTTCTCAAGAGGACCAAAGTTACAGCACTATGCCTGAGTCAAGTTACAGTGTGTCTGACTGCAGCTGATCAGACCAATATGAGTTCAGAATGTTCTACCACAGGTCCGGCAAAAATAGTCCACGTTAACATTTGGGGTGCATTCTCTAAATTTGTCCATCTCGAGTTTCTTTTAAGCTACTTCAATTCTGCTTTGCTCATAGAATACAGCACCTTCTCTGATGTGGGCACGACATGCTGAGCAGTCCTGTGCCAATGTCTCCCATGTCACAAAATAAATTCCAAAGTTCTTAGGAGAGACCTTGAGAGTGTCCTTGTATCACTTCTTCTGACCACCATGTAAGCGCTTGCCCTGGGTGAGTTCTCCATAAAACAGTCTTTTTGGCAAGCGTACTGAAATGGGCTGACCTTTCCAACCAACTTACACTCAACCCTCCCAAGTACTCTATGATCCAGCTACCCTGACCTACTTGGAGTTCTTGGAACATAACACTCCATGCCTCTGCAATGGCTCTCTCCTGTGAATGGAATACTCTGTCCTCTCACTCCACCCATTATTTCCTTCACTCCCTTCAGTACTCAGCTCAAATCCCACTTTTTGCAGGAGGTTTTCTTGGTCCCTCCAATTACTAAGTATCTTCTGTCTTCAGATTATCTTCACATATTCTGTTATATATCTTGAACATTCCTAGATATTTATATGTTGTATCTCCCCATTAGAATATACACTTCTGAAGAGCACAGGTTATAATTTTTGTTTGTGTGAAGGGTTTTTTTGCCTTTCTTTGTATGATCAGTGGTTAGCACAGTACCTAAAACATAGTAGGGCTTAATAAATGGTTATCTACTGATTGATGACTGATTGAATGTAACAGATAGCAATGGTATTCTGTATGATTATACCAGAAAGATAATATATGCAGAATGCTATACTACCTTTCACTCAAGAAATAACAAAAACCATTGCAATTTCATTTTTGTCCATAACATGGACTGTGAAGGGCTAACAACCCAATTTCTGCCTTCTTCTGGATACGTTTCTCAGGTCCCTTCTTAGATAAGAATGAAAGACTTACAAAGAATCTAAGCGTTCATAGGACATAACAGAGAAACAAAAAGTTTTCAAACATGCCTTTTTTTTTTTTTAAAGGCAACTGGGGTTAAGTGACATGTCTAGGGTCACACAGCTAGTAAGTGTGAAGAGTTTGGTCTGAGGTCGAATTTGAACTCAGATCCTCCTGATTTCAGGGCTGGTGCTCTATTCACTGTGCCACCTACCTGTGCCCCCCCCAACATGTCTTCTTGAGCTTCAGTTTAGACAACTGTTTCCCAAAATGAGTCTTTTAAAGTCAATTTTCATGTTTTCACAGAGAGGAGATGCTTGAGAGAGAAACCACAAGAGTACAACATACTTTATCAAATGTCAGAGTAAGACAGGAACAGCAGGGAAAGTTTTATTAGCAATCACCCATTAGATGGATTTGATCAAAAGACTAAAAAACTATATGTGGGACAATAAGGAATTCTAGAAACTTTGGAGAAAACATTGTCACTTGGGAACATAATTGTTTTTGACACATGGCTTATTTTTATCATCCAGTTCTTGGAAAAAATAAGGACCATATAATAATTAAAGGAGAAAGAAAGATATCTGTTAAATTCTATTACAATAAATTAATACCTTAGAACTATTTTAATTCACTTGACTGTCACAAGCAAGCCTCATAACTTTCCTTTAGTGTGTTGGGAAAGGTATAGAAGAAGAGGACAAGCAAGAGGAGGCATAAAAGAAAGGAAGAAAAAAATTGGGAGGTTGAATTAGATGATCTTAGTCCTCCCTTTACACCTCTGAATTTTGTTCATATACAACTTAAAGAGCTCTAAAGAAAATATACTCTAACTCTCAGAAGTCTTATAAATAAGGAGTGAGATAAAGGAAGAGGATATAGTTGATAAAGTCTCACTCCCACAGAATGACAAAGCTGTGCTGGGCAGCTTTAGAAAACACAAGCTTTTCAACCAATGTAAAGATCCCAACAACCGGCTGATGAATTATAAAGAATCCTAGGAAACACTAAAACAACAGGTACTATAAATACTAGTTACCTCAAAGTGTTGTAAGCTTTTACATGTTTAATCTCAGCTACTACAAATATGAATAACTCAAGACAAAATCAAATCTAGTGGTTCATAACTTTTGGGACTTATTCAGCTCACATGCAGATGATATTAAGAAAAGTTATCCTCAATTATCAGGCCATACTTTTCCTCAAGTACTTTAAAAAAGTTCTGTCATTGACAGTAATACTTTTCTTTTAAAACCACTTAAATGAAGCTTAGTAATTCAGTATTTGGTTATGACAATGGTTACTTGGGCCACAATTACTCTACAGTCAAGACTCTCAAGTAAAGAAAAAGATAAAAATATGTATTTAGTACTACAACAGCAACTTAAACACAATTATTGACGTAATGATGATAGTTTCTGTCAAAAACAAAGAAAAAAAATATAACCTAAGCAAGGGATAGTCTAGCATGTAGTTTAGATAACTCATGAACCCAAAAAGAGTTCTCAAACATTTTTAAACAAATAAGAATACTAAAAAGATCCACCAAGTTTCACAAACTCCTAGTCTAATTGAAAAAACAGGAAAAGTATGACATTTACTAGATGGTAATAAGTTGTACTATCTTTAAAAAACAAAAAGACCTACTTAAATGAAACTAAAGTCCTCATTTATACTAATATCAGCTATTTCCTACATAATCAAATATAGCATTTAAAATTCATAAAGATGCTTCACAGATTGCAGAAAGACTTGCAGATACATAACCTAATCAAGTTAATTTGCCTTCTGTCAAATACACAAATTATTACCTTCAATCCAAAGATTCAACTTTCCAGCACTGAAAGTAAGAAATTAAACTGTATGGGTGGCAGTTGGATAAAAATCTATTTGGGGGCTATGTTTAAAAAATGTCAGGTATTGTACAGTCTTCACAACCTCAAACTTGGGAAACAATAGATTTCTGAACGAACAAGTAAATCACTCTCATTGATTTCCTCTTTCACTCCATGTAAGCTATTGCCTAATTGAGGCCAGACCTGTCAAGCTCCAACAGTACCCAGGAAATGACTACATTACTTGGGTGCACACATCAACATGTGTGGAATACTTCTTATGTCGAAGCAAAGGAGAAAAAAAGTGAGACTGAGGTTGCTCTTTAAGCTAAAGCATTACCTTTACAATATACCTCAGGAAAAAAGGTCCAAAAGCAGTTCTTTATTGTTTTGACACACAAAAACCACCTTAGTCCACAACTGCATCTACATCTCACAGTGTCAAGTATGGTTGTCTTGAAGTCATCCTCCACTTTCTCACATATTTGCAAAAGTTCATTTTTAACCTGATTAAACAAAACACAACCAAGTGTTTTCCCATCTAAAATTACTCTATATTTTAATCCAAATCTCATATGTCCTTGGACACTAATAGTAGGACCCAGAAGGATGTCTGTTTTCCTGCCTTAAGAACCTGTTAATCGTCTAACGTCCAACACCCAAAACAGCAAGTTATTACCATACTTTTTACAAAAAAAAATAAATAAATCCATTAAACATCGAAGAGAAATATAAATACAACAGCCAAACCATGAGAAAAATAAGCCACACAGGTTGTAAAATGAGCAATAATCATTTCCACTTAAAATGTGCACTACTGAGCACAACAGCAACAGTACGATAAATGCTGGGAGCGTTAACAACCTACTGGACATCTCAGCCAAGAAAGGACAGGCCAAGAACTATTAATGACACCAAGCCTGGCCTCTGAAAGAGGTATAACATAGCAGAACATCAGAATACGGGATTTCCGAATGCCATTTTAATACTACTGGAAGAGAGAAGGCAAGTGCTGTAAAAAGGCAAAGGCCAACGTCTGCAGAAGGATGTAACACAAGACCACGGTCTTGTGGCAGCATCAGCTGTCCAACCTCATCTCACCTCAAACACACAACTTAATTTCAGGATGTCCTTATCACTGCCAGCAGCAAGGGGGAGAGGGAGGCGGGGGAGAGGAGGAGGAGGCAGGAGCGGATGATGATAGTGCACGGAGAGAGCTCCCAAGTGACAGATAAGGGCCCTGGAAGAGGCCGAGAAAAGAAGCCCCTCTAAGAGGGGTTTCTGCCGGCAAGAAGAAGAGAGGGCTTGACAGCATTCGTGCACGAGAAAGGAGGCTCGCCCGCTGCCTCTCAGGCTGTTAAGGGGCCAGGCGGGTGGAGGGAAAGGACTAAGGAATAACGAGATGTCAGGGGAAGGGGGCTTGGAGACGCCGGAGAGGAGTGGGGGAAGGGATAGGGAGGGGAGGGACTTCCCCGGACATTTCCAAAAGGACATCACCGGAGAGCACAGCCAGTCCCCCTTCCCAGTCACTGGTGGGATCCCCCTCCAAGGCGATAAGGCCCCGACCCTCTCGCCAAGACCCTCTCGAAGGGGTGTCCGCCCCAGACCTCTGGCTGCACCCTCTCTCCCTTCCCCACAGACGGACGCTCCTCCTCCATCTCGCTCCCCCTTCTCACTTAGATCTCTGAACCTGCCGGGGAGGAGGTCCCCTCCCTCCCGTCGCCTCCCCAGGCCTGGCCCGGCCCCTCCCCCCTCACCTCTCCTCAGCGCCTCCTCGTAGCTGAGGAATCCGATCCGTGACTCCTTGGCGCCCATACTCCCTTCATCCCCTCGGCCGGGGGTCGGAGCCTGAGAGCGCCCCCCGTCCCCGCTTTCTCCTAGTCGTCGTCCCGGGTGACGGTGTTCTCGTCCCCCGTCCTTCCGCCCCTCCGAGGCGCACCCACACACGCACACACTAACAAGTGCGGCTCCTGGCCCGGCGGCTCCTCCCGGCCGCCGCCGATACCGTCGCCAGCCCAGCCGCTGCCGCCGCCGCTACCGCCGCCGCCGCCGCCTCCATGCTGAGTCACGTGACCCCGCTCCCACACTTCCCCCGCCCTCCCTGCCCTCCCCTCCCTACTCCGCCCTCCTCTTCTTCCACTCCTCCTCCACGGCCTGCCCCCGCGCCAGCCCCGCCGGGGGTCACCTGACCCGAGGCTCAGGGATTGTTCCGGGTAATGGCAGGCTGGAATTGGGGGGGATGGGAGGGAGCGCTACGCCGCGCCCAGCCCCTCTCCGCGCAGAGGCGTAGGGGGAGGGGCTGAGCTGCCTCACGTGAGCTGTCGTCGTTCCCTCTTCCCCCGCCAATCAGAAGCCAAGCCGCTGATTCGGCCTCTGGCTGTGCTTCAGAAGGCAGCGGCGGACGGGGGCAAAAAGTGGAGTGGGATTGGCTTCCGGGGCGGGCACGCTGGGGAAGGGGAGGAACGGATTGGAGGAAGGGGGAAGGCTCAACGTTCTCTCCGCCCTCTGGGCAGAGCCAGTGAGCACCCGGAGGGGACGGCGGTTGAGCTCGCACTGTGTTCTCGGGCGCACGCGCTCTGAGATACGAAAGGTCGACCAATGGGTCCTTGAGGGGAGCGGTCCCTGACAAGAATGTGGGACCCCTCCCCCCCTTCTCCCTCTCCCCGGAAATTTCTGACAGGGCGAGCTGAGAGAAAAGGGAGGTTCAGTCAGGGCTCCCTGAGAAGGGTGGGGACGGGTCTGGACCATAGCCTCAGCTCATGACCGCAGCACTCCCCTGACTGCCAGCCAGGTTCGACCCTGGAGGCTGTAAAGGCTGGCATCTTTCCCTAAGGACACGCAGAAGGAACGGACCCCCCCGAACGCGAGCTCTGCTCAGATGCTAGAGCTTTGTCGGTTTGCCTTTAAGAGGCCTCCCTCCTGCCGGGGGGGGGGGGAGAGGGGCAAAACACCTGACTTTCCGGCCTTATTTCCGGTGACTCCCCTAAGAGATGTTTCCCGCACCCAACCCGGCCTCTGCCCGTCTGGGTAGACTCCCACGGGCAGAACGAGCCTGGAATGTACTCCGTCATCTAGGCTTTTCTGAATCCTTTCTGTCTTCCAAGGCTGACTTCAGGTGCCACCTCCTCCCGGAAGCCTTCCCTTACACCTCCCAAAGTACTATTCCTGAAGCGTAGGTCTGGCGGGGTCACTCACCTGCCACGCTCATTATAAACTCCAGTGACCCATTGTCACCCTTTAGGATTCAATACAAACTCCTGGCTTTGACGTTTAGGTCCTTCCCTTCTAGGCTCCAACCTAACTTTCTGGGCTTACTATACATTACTTTCCTCACCCCATGGTCCAGCCAAAGTGTCTCTGCTGTTCCTCACACAAGACGCCAACGTCTTGTCTATGTGTACTGTCCATCTGCGCCTGAAATGCACGTCTTCATCTTCTATCTCTTGAACCGTGCTTTTACTCTCCAGTATTTAGCGCCGTGCCCGGAGCATAATAGGCGCTTAGAAATGCTTGTTAACTTGACTTCCGTCCTTGTGCCACTTCCAGCTCTGAGGGGGTTCCTGATTTTAAGCCTTTCATAATTCCTTCTCTCCCCCAATCATCCTGAATATACAAATTTTATATAAATATTTAATATAAATATATAAATTTGTATAAATTTTGTGAATGTATTGTCTCTCTCAATAGAATATATTTTCCTTTAAGAGCCGGGGCTTTCGTTTTTTAACTTTGCATCGCCATACCCAGATACAGGGCTTGACACTTTCTAGGCCTATGCTTTTAATTCATTGAAAGTATGCTGTCTCTTCCTCAAATTGCCCAGAGCATTTTGTCTGGATGTCTCCTTTGATTCCATCATACCTCCACACTTTGTATATCTCTAATGGAAAGGCAATACCATATATTAGATAAAGAGCCTGCCTTAGACCCAAGAATACTAGGACTCAAATCCTACTTGTGCTATCTGTGCAACCCCAGACAAGTTATGTAGGTGTCTCAGTGCTCAGGACAATTCTATAAGACTGTAAATTGCAGGAAAGGTACCCACCTGCATTGGTAAGAGGGTCACCACATGGGACTTCAAAAATAATCCAATCTCTCTATTTGTGTGCCCCATACATCCTCCCTTCCAGTACAATGTAATGATAATAGAGGATTAATAGAGACATATAAGCTTTAAGATTTATAAAGCACTTTATATTTATTCTTTCATTTGATATTAACTAGTTGAGATCAAGAACTCTTTTTTTAATCTTTAAGCCTGAATACTTAGCACATAATAAGCACTTAATAAATATTGGTGAATTGAATTGGTTATTAAAAATTCAACTTCATTCCAAGCCAGAAAGACAAGACTAACTCAGCTTCAGATCTGAACAACTTTATAAGAAGAAGGTGGTAGTTAAGATGTTTTTCCCAGTGGACCAGATCAGCAAGGTAACATTAGTCACCCCTTTACCCTTTCAAGTTACCTGCTAAGCAGTTTATTTTTAGACTTCAGATTAGCTCCTTTACTAGATGTCTTGAATCAGAGGGTTGGGATTACAATTCAGGCGTCTAATTCTAGATTATTGGTTTGATCAGGATAGACAGCTACAGACAGAAAATCTGTCATTTTTCTGGCTGAACAGGTAGGATTTTGAATATGAAAGAAGACTCTAGAGGAATCAGTCTAAATAAAAATGGGTCATTAGCTTAATTCTATCAAATAAAGTACTCTCCCAAGAACTCAGCCGAGAGACTGAGACAAGAAGGAAGTTACCACTCGAGGTAACATTCCACTGTTAAAAGACAGACTTAGGTTGTCAGTGTCTTAGATTGCAATTAGGAGCAAGTCATGTCATAACTTCATGCAGTTTTCTCTAACAAGAACATAAAAATATGATACTCAGAATCCACCTGTGTTATGAGGTTTAAAAAAAAATGACAAAAACATTTGACAGAGGCAGCTAGGCGGTGCAGTAGATAGAGCACTGGGCTTGGATTCAGAAGGACCCGAGTTCAAATCTGGCCTCAGACCCATAACACTTACTAGCTGTGTGACTCTGGGCAAGTCACTTAACCCCATTGCCTAGCCAAAAATTAAAAAATTTTTAAAAATTTTAAAAATTAAAAAAAATTAAAAAATAAAAAAAACACTTGACAATCCAGAATGGCAGAAGCTGAGGGTCACAACCTGTTGTGTGGCAAAAACAAGGAAGTCTCACAAGACTTCTCCTTTGCTGACACGCAGCTCCCACGGTTGGCTCGGCTCTCCTCTCATTGGGAGAAAAGTCCTACTCATACCCCTGACACAAGGGCTGTAGGTGTCCAGCAGACTTGGTGATTGGCTATCACGTGGAGATCATGCTTTGATCAGGTGTTACTAGGGATATAAAAGAAAGCTACTAGCACTTAATAAACGGAGCTTCTGCCATCTTTCTGTCTCCCGCCTCATCAGTGCTCCCTCTTACGGGTTAAGAGTATCGAGCTAGTCTCATGCTCACCGCTGCAGGGGCTGCGTCAATGGATATATGAACTAAATATTAAACAATATATAACAAAGGAAAAATTTTAGAAAAATGGTCAAAGGTACTATTCAAATCTATGGCTAGAAGGAAAATTCTTAAATGAACATGAGAGTTGATGATAAACATTAAAATACATGATTTTGATTACATAAAGCTTTTTGTTTAAACAAAGCTAATTACAATAGGAAGAGAAATTGTCTAGTGGGGAAAAATCTGTACAGCAAACATCTCTGATAAAATTTCAAGTTATATAGGAAGTTGGTACAAATAAATAAGACCAAGAACCATCCCCAACAAGTAAGTAGTCAATGGTTATAAACAATTTTCCAAAGAAGAAATAAAAACTACCAACATGTGGACGATGTTCCAAACTCCTTTTAAGAAAAATGTAAATTAAAACAATTCTCAGGTTTCAACTCACATTTATCAAATTGACAAAGATGATGAAACATAACATTGGAGAGACTATGGGATAACAGACATAACAATATACCATTGGCAGAACTGTGGATTGGTTTGACCACTCTGGAAAACAAGTTATGATTAAAATATTCATATCTTTTGGCCCAGTGGTAACCCCTTCTGGGCATTTACTCCAAGGAGGTGAAAAATCAGGGTAAAATGGAAAATTTTTATATCTCTACCAAAAATTCAAAGCATTTTTGGTGTAATTACAAAAAAAGTGGAAACATAATGGTTGTCTACTAAATGGGGAATGACTGAATAAACTGTAATATATATAAATGCAATAGAATTTTATTGTGGTTTAAGAAGCAATGTATAAAGGAAATCAAGAAAAATGTATGAACTGATATGGAATGAAGAAATTGGAACAAGAATAACAAATGCAAAGGCCATAATAATGTAAAGGAAAACAACTGAAACCCATCAGAATTCAGATAAATCCAGTTACTAAACCAAACTTTCCTACTTGCTCTTTCCCACACAAGACACTTAATCCACTGTCACTGTGCCTTTGCATAGGCAAGAGTTATCCCACTGCTGGACCACCTTACCTTCTCCCCTCCAACTCCTAGAACCACTAGATCTCTTCAAGGCTCAGCTCAAGTGCCACCTTCGAGAGATTACTCCTGACTCACCAAGTAGTTAGTGCTCCTCTTAGCCATTTGTTTTATATATATCCTATATTTATTTATCTGTGAACGTGTATCCCCATACATGCATGTGGATACTCTTGAAGACAAGGACAATCTTTTTACTTTTGCATTTGTATTCCTATCAGCTAGCCCAGTGCACGGCACATTGTAATAAGTGCTTTCTGGTTAGCTGATTGATTCTAGAGGACTAATGATGTAATATAGAATACACATACAACATTAATTTTTTTCTTGGTAAACAAGAACAAGTTCTACAGGGGGAGTAACATTGGGAAGTGATAGTGCTATAGTAATTTTTTTTTAAACTAAAGAAGAGAAGAAATCTTACACAGTTGTGGATAGGGGAGAATTCTT